ACACTACCCTCTTAATTTGAGTCTTATCTTCTTAAACATTTTAGTTCAGTTGGAGGTTTGTTTGGTTGAATGTCAAAAAATAATATTATTGTACATTGAATATAATTAACAAGAAGTCTACATGCACTTTTACTTTCATTTTCATCTTTTATGTGAACTTTTTGATATACTCAAAATACATTTTCAAATTCATCTTTTTCATCTGTCATTTAAGAAATAGAACATGTTTTTACATTTTTTTAGTAATTAATCATCATCTTAAACAACAGTATGTAGATAGAGAGGCTTGTGTCAGTTTGTGAAAGAAGTGTACTCAGTAGGTAAGTGAAAAACTTGGAATACAGGAATATGTATGAATATTCTTGTTGAAGTAACTAGTTTGAAGGATGAGACCCAGTCCTTTGATCAACTTCCAAAGTAAACTATTTTTATAGCAATTTGATGATTGAGCCACTGTTTAAGTTGAACTAAACACAGTATTTGTTTTAAGAATTTACTGAATTGTACAAACATAATTGGTACTTTGCACTACAATTTTTTCCCTCCTTGTTTTCGACGTTTCCTCAATTTCAACCCCAACTGTAGTTGGTGCGGATTTAGTAAATTTTTGGAATGAAATAGCATTGCTCTTTGTTTTAATTGAGCTCATTTAGGAAAATTAATTTGAAAATGAAAGCAACTCTAGTGGAAAATTAAAAATATTAATAATACACTTACAATAATTTTTAATACATCTTAACAATTTTATTAACAAAAAAAAAAAAAACTTTTTAATTACTTTTCGAAACCCTACAGGCGCGCTTCCAAACATATGCTTGGCAACTCGGCTTTACAATTGTATGTGTGCACTGCAAAGATCCTCAAGCCCAATGACAAATGATTGATCTTAATTATAAATGTTATTAGAGCAAAGTTAATTTGTATGTTTGAGTTAAGTGTTACTCGGAGGGATGTTGTTTTGTGTGGGGAATAAGTAATCATTAATAGACTCGCTAGTTGTATGGACAGTAAGACGCACATTTAAGGAGCTTGATAATCAAGCATTGCTTTTTGTACTATCAAGTCCCTCAATTAAGTCCGGATTCAAATCAGCCATATTCGTTTTATGCATGTCTACTTTTCTGTTCCTTTAATTGAAGAACTAAAATGATGTTTTGACACTCCAATATAGTTAGGCTGTTTACACCGTGGGAAAAGAGAGATATGAAAAGAGATAAAAAAAACAAAAAAGAGAGTCATTGATGTAATAAATAAAAATAGAAGAAGAGTATAAAATTAAAATGGAGTGTAAGAAATTATGATTAGTTAACAAATATTACATCAATTTGTCACATTATGCATTAAAACAAAACTCATTCTTTTGAAAATAATTCATAATTCATTTTTTATATTTTTTCTCAAAAGCTAAGATTCTTATATCTTCAATTTAAAAATAATAATAAAATAGTCTTTAGGTTTTTTATTTTTAAAAGTACAATATTATTATCATGATTTTTTTATTGAAAGGTGATTTTTCCTTAAAAAAATGCATAAACAAGCGAGCTTTAAATGCATGCTTGAAGGTTCACAAATAAAAATGCATGCTTGAATTTACTTATTTTTAAAAAAATATTTTTTAATTTCTTAATTTGTTGAAAAAACAATTATTTTCTAAAAAAATAAGAGAAGTTGAATTTGGCATTGAGATCCTTGAGGAAGGGTAATCTTGTCTTGGGGTTTTTTGGTGAGGAGGAAGTGTAATTCTTGTAGTTTCTCATCATGCATGTGGGATCTGCGGTCCATTACCAGCCAATTACATTCATGAAATCGCGCTTCGCTTTTAAATGCAAGTTGTGCTTTGCATCTGAAGCAATACGAGCTTGCCATTGTATAACCAATAATAGCAAAAAACCATTTTCTTCACTCTGACCATTGCATATCTCCGAAGAAGAAAAGATATATATGTTCATGTGATTGGCATATTGGGTTAGCTCAATTTTTCCCGGGAAATTGTGGATTAATATTCAAGTTAAATTATAATATTAAACTCCAAATTGAGTTTTCATTCTTGTGAAACTGGTACACTGTATTCTGCTACGGGCTTTGGCGTGTGTATAATGATATTTAGAAGAGTAATGTTATTCTTACAAAAAATTTCTATAAATAATTTTTATATACTTCCATTTTCTTTTATTTCTGTGCATTACATATCTATCTTATCTTGTAGTTCCTTCTCTTCTCTTTTTATTTATTTCTTTTATATAAAATTATTGTAAGAATACTATTAATATATCTAGGAAGTCATGGTCAAGTACAGTCCAAAGTTGAGGATGCAAGTTGATCATGCTTTATTCCAACTAAAAATGTAGGGCACGGTATTTTTTTTTTCTTCTTAATTTGGAGCTTATATTATAAGATGATAAACATTTTTGGTAGAATAACAAGATTTTGCTTGAAATATAATGATTTTTATAAAAGTTCCTACTAGTGTGCAAAACCCTATTCAATATTCAAACCTTAAGAATGATCAATCAAAAAGTGCGACCCGGTGTAGGATTCCCACGAAGCCTTATCCTGCAAGTGAATCCTCCAGGATTTAATTTCTTCACTTCTGAATCACAAGAGAACAACCTTCGCCTGATTAATCATCTTGAAATTTGATCTTATCTTAAAACCCAGAAATGGTTTAGTTATATGTTATTTACTCATTAGAATAAATTAAACTAGATCGACCCAAAACGTGAAGATAGTTTCTTACTATGGAAGTTCTTGCAGAAAGTCATAATCATGCATGCACGGGTCTAATTTTGGCTCAAAATGATAACTTTAAGATTCCAATGAATTTACTGGGAACTAAACATCAAGATAGTCTTTTTAAAAAATAGGTACTTTGTTACATTTATGTGGTACGTGTACTAGAAGATATGGACTATCTTACAACAACAAATGAATGATGCAATGTTCTGACACTTTTTCCTTAAAGGGGGTAAAAAGGAAGAACAGTAATAATAGATAAGGAGTTTTGCCCATTGAACTATATAAACAGATGCTCATTGCTTAAAAAAAGCAAGGGGAATCTGGCATCATTATGTTACCCTTTTCCCATCGTGTGTTTGATAGCTGTGTAAGCCTGTAAGGTCTCTTACTGCTTCAAGGTCCAAAACCCAGTAGCTAACTATTAATTTGATGCTTATTATAATCATTTTTTTAAAATTTCCTTGGCATTGTAGGCCAAGAGGACTATATATTGTGAATGCAAGAAGGACACGGTGTTAAAAATGGACCGTACAAAGGCTTTTGCTTTATCCTAATAGTGACAAGATAAGGTCAAAGATAAGCTAGATATTTTGTCCAATTGAATCACAATATGCATGCTGTAATATTAGGTAATGTGTTTTGGTCCTAAACCATGCCTACTTCTGATTTAAGTACCCACCTGTTATATAATTGCCCACTGAATCTTCTTGCCACTATCTTGGATTTGCACATGCTGGTATAATAAGGGGAGAGAAAAAGGTTTTCGTCGCCACATAAGTAACCACTGAGAAGGCATTATTGCTGGTTTTCTGCCTTTTACTTTTCTTGTTGCTTCCTGTCATGATATGGATTGGTATTTACTGGGTTTCTTTCTTGCAGGAAATGAATTGGATTTGTAAGTGTAGCTTTAACTACTAATGAAGGTATCACAGACTTTTGACAGGGCCCAGAACAGTGATTGGGTTGCCATTGTACTATTCATTTGTCCCCAGTTAACGAGGTTGTTTAGCTGTTTTTCACCAAGCATGCGTCCTGTCCCAGATTACTAATCTTGCCGAGGTAAATTTTGTATGTTGTAACAATCTAAAGAATCTGGCTACAAAGTACAGGATGAGGAGTACAGAGATGTCTCAATTTCTTTTACCAAAAAACAAACAACACAATGATCCACTTTGTGGTGGACACCATGTTAAGTATAAATATTGATTAAAAAAGGTCTGCACCTAACATCTTCAAGTCGCAAGACAATTGTGTATCAAAAACTTATTTGACCAAGAATTAAAGTTTGATTCTTGCTATCTCCAGTCCACTCTTCTAATTAAATTATTTTTTTAGCACAAAGTTTGAATGCTAAAATTTTCTTTTTAAGGTTACTTGTTCTATGAGAAATTTTGCAATATGAAGTTAGTTTTAGATCCATAATCATAAACTTAAATCCCATGTCATGAACGAGGAAATTGGCTACTATTAAGCCGAGAAAATTTTCTTGAACTTTCTAATTTAAGAATGGATGACTTGCCTCTGACAGAACTGTAGAGATGGTGGCAACATAGCCAATCAAAATATTAGCTTGATTGGGACACCTTTATTATCTATAATGTCAAATCAATTAAAAAAAGACTAATCATGTGCCCATGAAAAAGAATACTTAAGCCCAATCTCTCATGGGAGGGATCTTTAAAAGAAAGAAAGGTGTGAGCTTACGAAAGATTACAGCATGATTGATACTAGATTTGGCATTAAGTTTCCATACTGACGGTAAGCAGAATCTATAAATAAATACTGTTTTGATATAAAAAGGAAATTGTGTGGCTACTTCTCTTACAAAAACGAATAACTTAAAGCAAATTCAGGTGCCTTTTTCCAATGCAAATTATCAAGGAACACAACAGAATACAGTCCACAGACAATTATGCTATGCATAAAGACATATATGCTCTCCATGATAGTACCAAGTATATATCCTGATTCGGGTGGATTTTTCAGATTTTTGAACATTACCCGGTTAAGTTATATATTTATTTAGGGTCTGATAGATTGTCCAGCAACGAATATGTGTCTAACCAATTAAGGATATCGAACAACTTAACTTTATCTTGCTTAGTGGCCTTAATTTCCCAAAGTCTACTACTATCTATACGCATTGCAATGAATGATACCGAAGATGCATAATACTCTAAGGAAGCACGCATATGTTGTGTGTAAACTAGAAGTATGATTTGATTCAACCGATTTAAAGAAAGTATAAAATTCTGACCACTAATGTAGAAAATTGTTATTTCTATTTCCACTGGCAAATGCAACTGATTCAGGCTGCTCCAAAAGATTTTCTGAAATGTGAGGCCTTTCATATACATAGAGGGAATTTCTCAATTACAGAATTAGCAAATGGCAAATTTCTTTCCACATTGATGGTTAGCTCTCTAAGAAAAGAGCACAAATAAAATCAATATATCATTACTCTTCCATCATTCTTCTGGCCCTGACATATTTTAAACACCCAAAAATCATGTAAGCTTGAAATGTCCATCTCCACACAACAACAACAATAACAACAACAACAAAGGAGGCATTTCAACCTTAGTTTCAATCAATGATTGAGCCAGCAATAAAGAAGAGGATCACTTCCCATCATCGATGCTGCTTGCCAGTATTCAGGGGAGAAGCCCTGATGCTCTTTGATTGCGTGTAAGTGATCTGAGGAGTTCCATCTTTCTTCTTTCGTCTCCCTTGTTGAGACAAACGAGAGTGATAAGACAAAATTGCCAGGTCATTAAGATCCTGCAATGGAGTCAGAGCCTTCACAACTTCATCCATGTTAGGACGGGATTTGGGGTCTCTACTGAGGCAATTATAAGCTAACTGGGAAATTTTCTGCACTCCTTTTAGAGAATAATTTAGTTCCAAGCGAGGATCCACAAGTTGGTACAGTTTTCGCTTGTCGGCTAAATATGGCCTAGCCCATGAAACAAGGTTTTGTTCCCCACTTGGGCGCTTCTTGTCCATTGATCTTCTTCCTGTTAATATCTCAAGTAACACCACTCCAAAGCTATAAACATCACTTTTAGCTGTCAAGTGTCCTGGTAAAAAATAAACAGAAAATCACTTCAATGGTTAATTCTCACAGGTCTTGCACTTGAGACAGGAAATAATTTTAAAGATGTCATCAGAGTTAATTATGGTTAGTTAGTTACAGGTCACAGAGATCACATTGAATTCTAGGACATGCATATGAGATGCCAATGTTGGGAGTATTGAAGATAAAATGACATGTAAACAGAGAAAATAACAAAATAAATACAAGTCAATCATCTTTACATGATACCCAGGGGATCATCACAATCTTCTCCATGACATTTATAAATAAATTGCAGCCTCAGCAAAGGAATCAAATGCATTTTGGAATGATTGGTGTGTGCTGCTTTTACATAATGTTCTGCTTTGTGGCAGAAATTATAATCCATAATACAACGTTTAGCACAAGATATCCAGAGGCTCTAGTGGTTCTTGTCCTTTCAAGCTACTTACTGCTACATTCTTACCTGTCATGACATATTCTGGAGCAGCATAACCATAAGTTCCAACAACTCTAGTAGAAACGTGTGTCTTGTCTCCCTGAGGCCCTGCTTTTGCTAGACCAAAATCTGAAAGCTTTGCGTTGTACTCCTATATAACACTACACATTAGTAATTAATCCCCAAAAAAAAATGCTTCGAAGAAACAGATATCACTAGCCACATACTGTATCAAGCAAAATGTTTGATGTTTTAAAATCTCTATAAATGACTGGTTCTGGACCATTGTGGAGGAAGGCCAATCCTTTTGCTGCGCCAAGTGCGATCTTAACCCTGTTGGACCATGGAAGAGGTACGGTTCCTTCAAGCAGTTGGCAAAATCATTACTTTATTGTAAGATATAAGGATTAAGAGAAAGAGGACCAGAACAGAATAACTAGCAGAAAGGTATCCAGATTTATAGATCTATCATCTTCATAAAAAATATTGAAGCAACAAGAGGGAAAAGGCAAATAAAGAGTAAAAAGGACAAGTTATTAGCTGATCTGGAATATGTTTTGTAAAGAGTATAACCTATGAAAAGAGGTTATGAAAATTTCTCTAAACATCCATTAAAATCTGAAATATCTTTATCAGATACATTAAATTTCTTGTTCATTTCCTCGGAATACTGTGTTTTATTTGATAATATACAGAGGATTTCCAATATCCATAGTGTGTCTAAATTCTTGTTTTTACTTTATACAGTCATTGGCTACTGCTCATAAAACACTTCATGATATTATATGCTGGCAAAGGTCTTAAATGATATGATATTTTGGCTAGCTAATTTTAATTTTTGTAGAAAAGACAATAATCAGTTGTGAATTCAACAAGCCAGTGTTAATTGCTCCAACAAATAATTCCTATAAGGGAAAAAAGCCATAAAAAACATACACCAGCTAAGAAAGAATTATACAATGTTTGCAAAAAGTCTCAGATTAAACAAACCAGATGACTTTGTAACAATTCATTGGTTTTGGATTTATTCTCAAGCAACAGGAATGATTTGTGTAAGAAACCAATAAATTGTTACGACATAATCTCTAGATATAACACTCCGTATAATCCCATGTAGAAAGTTAAGGGTAGAAAAACTCACTTCTGAATAGATGGTTTTCTAGACTTCCACGGGTCATAAACTCATAAACAAGAAGCCGCTGATCATCTTCGATACAGTAACCAATGAGTTTCACAAGGTTAGGGTGGTGAAGCTGTCCAAGAAAGTCAACTTCAGCCTGCATTGATGAAATGCCATGTCACAATCTAATCTCCAGCATGTCCTAAACAATTGTTTACAATATTGACCTACTAACCCAAAGCAGATATTTTACTAACCACCCATTCTCTATGGCCCTGAAGACCATCTGGCTTCAAGCTTTTGACAGCCACGGTAATCCCTGACCCGGGTTTTGCCGGGGCAGTTCCGTCTTCCTCAATCCATCCTTTGAAAACATAACCAAAGCCACCCTCACCAAGAATGCTATCAGGTCTGAAATTTCCAGTAGCAGCTTTGAGTTCTTGAAATGTAAATTGAAGAAGCTGGCAAGGAGCCTTTTTTTCCTGAGGCTGTGGATCAGGATTATCAGAAGATAATCGATCTTCATTGGGAGGACATAATTCTCTATTGCTAGCATTCAGGTATCTTGTCTCAGTTGCTGCAGCAACACAAAAGAATATGAAGGCTTCCTTCATGAAATTTTAACTACTTTATTCGTGAAATAGATTATAATTGCATTTAGCTTTCGTTTTGGATCTGACAATGTATTTGAAATGAAACCATCATAACACAACGGTTAAAATAATTCACTGTTTGAAACTTGAAAAATCAGAAAACTTGCTCAAACTCTACCGGAATGAAAACCAGAAATCTTTTTGAATTTCGCAAGAGGGACTAGTTTCCTCTTTGCACCCCATGTTCCTTCAAAGGAATCATGCAGTTGGCAATGCTTTTAGTGTGTAGAGTAGGAAGAAGGAGAAAAGGGTTCTGGGAAAGCACGAGAAAGTTGAAAAAGATCCATCTTTTTAACTACACACATCATGATTAAACTTCCATAAAAATGCCTGCCACAAAAGGTCTTCTGTTTTTGTTTTTTTTTTAAAGCTTTCCCAGAAAATTCATGATTTTAAGCAAACCCAGAATCAAAGTGTTGCAGATTGAGAAGGAGGTTCAGAAACAGAGAAAACAGGGGAGAGTGATAGGAGAAATGGAGCATTCGTGAGACGGTGGCATTACAAGTAGTGGTTGAGATTCAAAAAGCGAAGAGAAATTTCCAGCACCGAAACATTTTCTACATATACCTGCATCATAAACGAGACTAGTACGAGGGATAGTGTTAGCAGAGTCTCTGGAAGCTGAAGGTTTGCACGCACCTCTAACGCCGCGTTTAAGAACAGCCCAACACCCGCACTTCTTCTGAGTCTCCATGGTCACAACTTTCATTGGCTTCTTCTCGTGAATTTGCATAGCGAAAAGGAATTAACCATGGCTGCGAGGGAAGAAGATGAGAGAGTGAGTGTGATAAGAGAGAGAAGAATAGCTGTTTGTGTTTGTGTTGGAGATTGCAGGCATCATCATCGCCATCATCGCAGTGTGTACAAAAAGAACTTTTTTCCCACCACCTTTTGTGTGGGGGATGGGAATGGGACACACTCTATCTTTCTTTCTCTCTCTCTTTCTTGCTCTGTTTTTTTTACCTGTGTTGCTTGAAAATTTAAATTACCAAAACACAACACAAAACTTCATGTCATGCCTAACAAAGTTTTAGCATTTTCGGAGACGCCCATTCATGCCTTCCACCGCCATTCATCAATGCTTTATCCCCGGCACACATTTATAAATAGAATCCATACTTTAATCATAAATTAAACCTATTTCTTAAATATCACTCTTTTTTTTTTAACCCTGTAAGCTTTTTGCATTTTGCTACTTCGCTTGACCCCCACTTTTTTTTTTTTATAACTATTTAATTATTCCCTGTTTATCTACTCAATTAAATTTCAAAGTCTTCAAATTTATACATAATACATTTGAATATGTTCAGCAAAGCATGTTGCGTGTTTAGTGTTGATATAGGCAACAAATTTTCTTGCTCAGCTACTTCCATGATTATGTTGTAATCTCCTTTAAAAATCATGAATTTTTATTAACATATTGTTTTCAGTCCTTTACCGCGTAAAACACGGTAAGATATTCTTAATAATATCTATTAGACTGTTTAGTGAAATATTTCCTCAATGTATGTATATTTATAAGAGCATTTTTTAATAGGTTAATCAAGTTAAGCCTCAATTTTAATAAAATAATAAAATTACTATTTAAATTTATTATAAATATCATGTATATAGACTTTTTTTTTAAACTCAAAGCATTGATGCAACAATCTAAAATTTTATTGTATTCACACACATTTATAGTCAATTTATTTATTATTTTTTAAATACTTTTGTCAGAAATTTTAATTTAAGTAATTGTGCAACATAAATTTTTAAAACGATAGTGTTATTTCACTAAGTTCAAATCTAATGTTATTTAATGATGATTTTTTTAAACATAAAGTTATATTTCTATTTATTATTATTTTTTTAAATAATATATATCACATCATTATATTTTTAAATTAAAATAAAATAATTTTCTTTTAATTTATATTTTTGAAATACCCATGCAATATACCAAATTATTATTATTTATGTAGAATTTGTTAATTTTAGATGAAGAAAAGAAAAGGCACGGCAATATATGATTACGACAATTTGGATTCATATTACATATTTTAAACGTGATCGTACCATTTTTTATGAAACATAATCATACCGTTTAGAGTTTGGACAATGTATTGAAACTGTATCTTGCGAAAGAATAATATGTTTTTTTTATAGGTTTGATGTTATTGTGTTTGACGGTACAATAAAAGCAATAATTCAAAAAATGTATAAGAAATATAAGAAACATGAAGATAGCATCATCCCCCACCACACCATCTGATGTTTTCAGTGAGCGTAGTTATGGATTTGTTTGATTTATTTTAAATGTGTTTGAATTAACGTTGGAATAAGGTTTATAAATATGAACATAACGTCAAAATTTACAATTAATAATATTAAAACAAACGTGATTTATGTAATATTTAAATGTAAATTTAAATATACCATTAATTGTATTTAATTGGGTTTATTCAAGTTTTAAGTTTTTTTAATTATTTTGATATGAATTGTCAAATTAAGATGATAGCAAAATTATTATATTCTTAAACTTTTCTTTTTAACGTATTTCATTTTTATATAGGATTTTGAACTTTATATTACTAGACACTAAAATTGATTATCCATAATTTATTAGTCTTAAACAATACTTAAAACAATTTTAAAAATTTGTATTATTTATAATTGATGTGTAATTTTTTTATAATATTAACTATAGATAATCATTAATATCTTTTACCAGAAATAAAATAAAGAAGTTGAAAAGTAAACATAAAGAAAGGATATAATAGCATTGGATAAGAAGGTTACAATGGATGAAAAAAGAAATAAATTTAGATGAGAAATATAAATACAAAAGTGTAAAATATATAAATTTAAAAGTTCGAAAACTAAAAAAGTTGATCGGTTGCTTCAAATTAAAAAAACAAAACTGAGAACCAAAGTGATTATAATTAATTTGTTTTTTTAAAAGAGAATTGAACTAATTAATTTAGTTTGAATATCAAGCCGTGGTATTTATTTAATCCAAGGAGCACCTCTAGCTTTTAGCATTAAATAAAATAAAAGAAGAAATAAAAATAGAGCATTTTAAAATAATGTTATGGGGTGGCTGATCAGAGCGTAAAGATTTGTTGTGGAGTTTCACCATTCATGACTATTGATTGGTGATAAGTAGAAAGCTCAAGCAACGGGTTGATTTCACAATTGCTATATTGGACTAGTTGTAGTTTCTAGAAGGATGCTTACAGATTATGGTTATTATTATTTTCTAATTATACATACGAGGGCAAAAGTTCAACGATCCAAGCTAAATAGAAGTTTTTGCCCATAAAAGACAAGGATAGGCATATTATTGGGGCTTGCAATACAACACAACAACTTATTGGTTACTGAACGAACATAGGGGACTTGCCTACATTGCTTTCACTTTCCTCTTGTTCATGTGTGGAGAGATTAATGTTAGTTGTAAGCAGCATCTTGGCACAAGAGATCCGCAAAAAGAGTGGGATATGTAAGCCATTACCAAAAGCTTATAATTAGGCGTCAATTAAGTTACACTAAATAAACAATTTAGAGTCATATTATTGCTTGGTCAAAACTAATAGAAAGATGGTCAAGAGCATATTTGAGTGCAATCCCATCACTCTTTCTCTCTCTAGACATAGGGGTGAGATAGATTCCTACATGGATGAGCAAAGGGTCTATAATAGGTGAGTTTCTCATTAAGGGGTACATTTAAGGGAGAAGGGAAAGAGTGAGTGGGGAAGAGGGGGGAAGAGGCTGCTTGGTGAGAGGTCATTTCATCAACCAACTATAAACAAAATTGTATTCTATGATGCTTGGGGTGATGAAAAGCAATTTGAGATCCTATTCTTTTTTTTTTCTACACTGTGCTTGCAACTTGACAAACCTTGTTGGAAAGGAGTGATGCCAATTGCCCCCACTAAGTTTGTGGGTCCTTATCATTGGACCCCACCCCACCATTTACTCACTAACACATAGAAGAGACACACACAGGATGAGGAAAGAAGGGGGGGTTTTGGAACAGTGACCAGTGTAAGGCACTCAAGGTCATCATATGGCCAAACAACAATTCCTGTTGTTGGCTGTTGCTGGAGGGATAAAGTTTGCAAGCCAAATAATTGGCATGAAAGAAAAAATAAAATTGCTCAGAACTATATTTTTGTAGATATAATTAAGCGCACAATAAATGTTCCTTACCTTTCGAGTTGGATTGAGTGCCAACTCCACAGCTATTGGGACATCATCTAGGGCCCAAAAATCCCAACAATACTTATTATTGCAAATACATAAAGTATAATACAATGACTAATTTATTGTCTGCTTATATATAATACTATTGCTAAAACGGTGAACCACTTGATGTAACATGGTTACGTGACTTGCGTCCAGTCAAGCATCAACATCATGCATTCAACCCAACCAATAGTGTCAGGACTCAGCACGCAAGAGATGCCATTGGTAGTAAAAGGCACATAGATAAGATATCTTAAAAGAATATGTCATTTATATCCAGATGCTTCATGCTTGTTAACTTTTCTAGCCATTGTTTCTATGCCACATAGAAAAAAGTCAGGACCAGCACCAACTTCTAACCTTCTAATTCAAGTGTAGCTGTAATATATCAATTCTACAAGGTGGAATCGCAGAAGCATTTTTTTAGTTAATTTTTAAAGTAGAAAATTTGCCACATACGCTGCTAGCATTTTATTATATGTTTATAATGTTAAGAAAAAGACGAGCATAAATCTACAAGTATCTCCAAGGGAAAAAAAATTAGTAAGGCATCTTCAGAGTTACTGTGAATTAGATCGACCAACAGTTTTCAAATGAGCTTATTCTTGTGATATTTTAAATTATTATTTGTCATCTAAACCGTTTATATTGGAAAACGATATCTGGAGTAAGATTTGCCAGGGAGGGAAGATGAAGATTCCCGTGCTAGAACAAACTAATGGACCAAAATTAATGTTCTTCAAAATTTTCCTCTACTAAGTGAGTTAATTAGTAGCTAGTAAATAACGTAAAGATGTAATTAGTTAACTAATTTTGTAGGTACCCGCTATGAGTGACTATTATTTTCACATACTCTTACTGTGAAAATTATTACATTTTAGTTTCGCCAGAACTTGTAAATTAATTTTTAACTCGAGACTTGAAAAAAATTAAGGAGAAATATTTTAAATTTCATGATTTTTGTTATTTTTGTTTTACAAATCCTTTGATTTTAAATTTAAGTATTAGTTATATGAATTAATCAATTTAATTTTATTAAATAGCGGGACACATTGGTAAGGAAATGGCAATATTAACACTAACGGTGAATTCAACATGAAGATAAAAATAGGGTGAAATACATATAATAATATGTATTGTATTTTAAGTTGTTTGGATAAGTTTTAGAAAAATATTGAAAAAATACTTCAATTTCATTTTGACACATTCCAAAGACAAGTTATTTTCAGAAGTCAGTAAAAAGAAATAATAATTTATTAAAGATAAATTAAACGCAATAAATATTTTAGATTAAAAATTTGATTGATAGGACTTGAAACATGTAAAAAGTAATGTAATTTGATCATCATAAATATTTTTAATAAAAAGAATATTGTCCTATTTTTTTCCCCTTATTCTTTCTCGGGCCAAATAGTGGGCTATCTTCCAAAAGCGTCACTGGAGCCTCATCCACTACAAAATTAGTCATAAGCCACAAAATAAAAACAAAAGGTTTAAGCACAGCCCAAAAACCAAAAAAGTTAAGCTAAGAATGAAGTGACAATTTAGAAGTTTGAAAGAAATAAAGGGTATTTCGGATTGTAATTAGGATATAAAAAAAATCAAGAGACGCTAAACTAAGGAGTTTGTTAATATATGATCATAAACACATAATAAAGACATTTAATATTTATTTCTTTTAGTAATTTAAAATATTTAAGAAATCATGTTAAATTATTTTACATTATGTTCTCTTATTACACATTTTCTGTAAAATAAAAAACACTGCTAAACCAATGCGTGTAATAGGATGGTGCCAGGTGTGTGAAATAGCGTAGTGCATAGATCACCTTACCCTATCGCTTGTTCTTCATCATCATCATCACCGTGTTGCTAGGGTTTGCACATTCATAATAAAAGACAAGAGTAGATCTTAGGAATTAAGTGGAATTCAGTGGTGGATTGCATGAACGGTTGTTGGTTGGGTATTGGAATCGGTGGTGGTGGAGGTGGCGGTGGTGGAGGATCGAACGCAGAGTGAGCAGAAGATTGAAACATGTCTGCCATCATAGTTTGTGGGAAGAGATCATCCCTATTCCAAGACCTTCCTCCCAAGAGGATCCGTTGTTCCTCTCCTCTCCTTCCTCACCTCGCCGCCTTTTTCCCTGACATGGATAACCACCTTCTCCAGAATGTTTTAGAACAATGCGATAACGACATCCACTCCGCTATCACTAGCTTAAACCACCTTCGCTTAGGAACCTCTGTTCCTTCTGATTCTGCTCTCTCTCTCAATCCCCTACTTCAATCGCAAGGCAATGGTATGCGTGTAACATAACTAGCAATTAATGATACTTGCTGATTTTTTGGGGCTTTGATGGCTATTTTGTTTTAGGTGAAGCGAAATGCGACGCCGAAGTTGTTGGTGCTGAGGATCAAGTGGCTGAACAAGATTATCCTGTAAATGGTGCCGAATGGGTAGAGCTTTTTGTTAACGAAATGATGAATGCTTCTAACGTGGATGATGCCAAAGCTCGAGCTTCCAGAGTGCTACAAGCGTTGGAGAAATCTGTTTCTGCCAGAGCAAGTGCAGAAACAGAGCAAAACTTCCACCAGGTTAAATAGGTTTTTCTAATGTAGTATGATTTTATTAAGACTTACTCAATTCAATATAATTCAATGTATTGATACTATCAAATGTTATAATTTTCGATATAAATTTAATTGATTTCTGAATATATACAATTATGGACGGCTTAAACTTCGGGTTAATTATTATACATAATGTGTGTTTCTCTGCACTGTCTTTGTCAAGGGCAATGGTATACTTATTGTTTGATTATACTTCAGGAAAATGCGATGCTGAAAGAACAAGTGGAATATCTTATTGAAGAAAATGAGATTCTGAAGCGTGCTATTAGTATTCAGCATGAACGTGAGAAAGAATATGAAGAGAGGAATCAGGAGTTGAAGAATTTGAAACAATTAGTATCCCAGTATCAGGAACAGCTAAGAACTTTAGAGGTTAACAATTATGCGTTGACAATGCACCTAAAGCAGGCTGAACAAAGTAGTTCAATCCCTGGGCGTTTTCACCCAGATGTTTTCTAATTTTTAGTCATCCTGTAACAAGTGTTAACTAGCTTGCTGCTTCTTTAATTTAAGTATTCATGAAGAAGAAACAACGCAATGGATTTCGGAAACTGAATGTGCTTGTTCATCCGAATGCGCAGTTGTCCTAGCCTTTTTTGTGCTCCACCTTTTAGTTAATGGTGGATAGTGAAGATTTATACTATTTAATGATGCGTGGATGTGGCATCATACCCTTATGACATAGATACCCGTATGATCCATCTTTTTTTTATGCCTAATTCTATATATACAATGAATTCTTACAATTTAGAGGAGAGATAGGAAGGAAGAGAGAAAAGTGTGAGATAAAATGAAAGATGTAATGAATAGAAATAGGAAAAAAAAATTGAGTTCCAGAAATGCTGTAAGTTGTATCATTGTTCCTTTTGTATTTTTTGTTTCAGCCCTAAAAGACACCTTCCGCTCCTGCTTTATTTTCGATATGGCAGATCTCGTGTAACTGATGTGAGAGTGTGTTCAAATTTATGTTTGAATTACTGTGCATACATGTTTATTTTAATATTATTAATTGTAATTTTTGCATTGGATGCTTGTTTGTCGAGCTGTATTTCTGGCATTTTCTGTCGCCACCCGTTTTTGTCAAGCTTCTAGCTACTCACAATGCGTTGTGTTTGTGCTGAAAGAAAAGGGATGTCCTTCATATATTTCCATGTCAATTTTTTTATAAATTATAAAATTTATATACAATAACATAATATAATTAATCGATACCATATAGTTGGGGACCATACAAATTTTTTTTTGAGATTGGCGAATCTATAATTTTTGCTACCGCTTCATGCTGAATTGCCTTGTGTATGATGGTGGGTTTTGACTATTTAATGATGGTGTGAAGGGTAAGGGAAGAATGATGTTTTGATTATGCGAGGTAAGGTATTGAAACCACGTAAATTGTAACCATGAAACGTAGAAACTAGAGGTATCATTAAGAGTGGTTTGTGCTTGCTTGTTCGGCTGGACTAGGAGCAAGATGGGTTGACCGTGTGCTCATGGCTTGGCTGGTCTAATTGCGTGTTTATATTAATTGTGAAAAAATTATGTCAATAATTGACTATAACTAATTATGTCAAACAAGTTTTATGTTTGAATTTGTTAAGTGAAAAATGATTTCAAGATAATTTATTTTGATTATAAAAATCATCTTTATAATAAAATTACAAGAAAGATGTGAAGTTGTTTGTAATAAAAATAATCAATTGCTGATGATAACGTGGAAAAAATATATTCAAAATATAATTTGCTAGCTTTTTAATTATAATTTTTGAAATTTTGTTCATTAAAATTTTGTTTCCTTTGTTGATATTATAGTTGACGATTATGATTATGATTATGATTATAATTATAATTCAAAGGTTTAATTATAAATGTAATTCTTATATATATATATATATATATATATATATATATATCTATATATGAAATAAGGGAAGGGATCACTTACTCAAGTAATAAGTTTTATCAATTCTATTTTGCTTAATAATTATGAGTTTTAAATTTTATCATATACGAGTTGATATAAAAAATAATGATTATATTTTAAAAACTATTTATGAAGCAATCCTTATCATTTATCAAATTTATAATAATTTTAAATTTAGTCTTTGTACTTTATATTATTTTTTGTTTAAATTCTTATACAGAAAAATATTTAAATCTTTTAAATTTAAAAAATATATTTTAATTTCTACACATGACACATCATTTCCTATTTAAGCTTCATAGTATAATTCGTTTCGATAAATGATAGAGACAAATTTATAATTTTGTTATATTTAAAAACCAAAATATATTTGTTTTATGTAAAAAAAAAAAAAAAAAAAAAGCAAGTCAGGTGTGTGAAAAAAAATAGCCTGATATAAATCATCAAACATGTTTGAATAATAATACCAACAATATTTTCTATCAAAGATATTACAAAAATTCAATAAAATCCTACGCTTAGCTGCGTTGAGAAACAGAGTTTTGTTGGTAAAATGCGATGCATGTGTTGATAACTTTTAACCAAAAGTATATTCTTTAAAATACTTTTTGTCTATAAAATAAAAAATTATATAAATGTTTATGTCACTTTATAATTATTATTATTTCAACAATTAAATATCTTAAACATTTATAATTCAATAAACTAACTTGATAAATTCTCATTAAAAACTAGTCTTTCAACTTTCTGTTAATTTATCAACTTTTGTTGTTGAATAAAGCTGAAATATATTGGAATCTTGTTTAGTACGATAGAAAAGCCTACCAAGGTCGATTAAATTGACAGCCTTTTGTCTTGTTTTATGTCTATAAAACTAAAGGGTAAAAGAAAGAAAATGAAAAAATATATATAAAATAAATGTAAGAGATAAATAAGTGAGAAAATCAAAATTTTAAAAGAAAAAATAGTATAATAATGGAGCATGTAAAAAGCAAGCGGCACTCTTTATTAATACATTGTACACTTTTGCTTTTCTAGACGCACTTTGAATAGCTGGAAAAACAAACAACCCCACCCACACTTATTGAGGAAGCATCGTTCTAATCTGTGCCTTGAAGAGTTAAAAGTTGTTCAATTTATTATGCCCAAACATGAATTTCCTCCCCTTCTACGCGAGTATTGCAATTGATCCTTTAGGAAAGAACAAAAATTTAATTTTGATGCAATGTGAGTGTAAAGTTACATTCAACCTATTCAAATACACATATGACTCTTTTATTAATTATTACAATTTTTTTTTTAAGGTTTATGTGATACTCCTAAATAAGGATGTCAATGGATAAAATATTCGATGATTAATAGCAAAATTTACCTATAATGTATAGGATATTTATTTGTTATACGAGTACGATTAAATATTCGTGAATTTTAATGAGAATGAGTGTAGGTATAGGCATTTAAGTACCTACTTCACTCCATACTTGCAAATATATATATATATATATATATATATATATTAAGATTAATATAAAAAATATATTTAATAATAAAGTAAATCAAAAAAATTATTTTGGTTTATATTTTTAATAGAAAAATTTATTTACTATTTTATATCGTTTAATTATACTAATAAAATTTAATTATTATACAATTAATATGAGATTAATTTTTTTTTAAAATATTATTTATATATGACATACATATAAAATATTTTTCATAAAAATATTTTTGTTAATAAAATTATATTGATATTTAAATCATAAATTGAATGATAAATAATAAATATATTACAAATATTTTATAAATTTTACAATTATCTATTGTTACCTTAAATTTATTATTTATTGATAATATTTAAATTTTTTTATATTTTAATTTAAAATAATATTTTTCTATGTAAAATAAAATTTTACAGTAATATTTATTGATAATATTTATGTTAAAAGAAATTTTTAAAAAGATATAAAATATAAAAAATATTATTAATTCTTATTTGTTAATTTTTTTTGGATAAAAAAATATTTTTTTTACACACACATCTATTTTTTATTATAAATTTTATTGTAACAATTTATCTTTTATTCAAATTTTTTCTTTTAAAATTTATATACATTATAAATATTTAATTTATTAAAATAATTTATTAAAAAATTTTATTTTTAACAAAATACTTTCGTATAATACATGAGTTAAAAATACTAGTATTAATATATATATATATATATATATTATTTTAATTAAATCTGTTATGTTTCTTACAATTTCAAATTCAAAAGTTTAAACAAATATTTTATGTATCCATTTTTTGTTGTCGTTTAGTACTTGAATTTTTCTATCATAACTCTACCCTCATTTTTAGTGTTTGCCTCATTAAAATCTAACAACTATAAGACGTCATTTACTAAAGGTCACCAAGTGATCACATACAAAGGGTCACCCACTATGTAGATCTATTTTGTTATTACTATAATGTTGTTGATCGATCAAATCTTATATAAAATAGAATCATCGTTGACAAATAATTTATGTGTTTAGTTTTGTTTATTATTTCTAAGAATTTTAGTTTAAAATATTATTGTATTAAAATACATTTATCATTTGTGATCTTTGAATATTTATTTTTTTATTTATGTTTGTACCTTATTCAATAACTAATTATTGAATTTTTGTATTATTATGCTACTTATATGAAGTTATATAAATATATATTTTTTTAAATATTTTTTCTCAAACAAGAACTGATAATGAGTATAAGATGGATATGTAAGTATCCAAATAATACTGATATGGAGATTAATGTTCATATCCACGTGAAGTATGGGACTGAATAAGGTATTTCTTTAAAACGCAAGTATGAAGATGAATACCATAGTATCCTACCTATACCTTACTCATTGCCATCTTTACTTCTAAAAAATATTGTTTATCTTCTTTAAATTAAATATTGTGATCTCTTTAATATTTTAAAAATTAAATAAATATTTATCTTTTTAAAATAAATTTAAAAATATATAATAATCTCTCATTTTATATAGCATCATAAAATTTATTTATTTTATTTAAATGGTAGCTTATAATTGAAAAAATTACGCGTAAAAAATTATTACACTGTTTAACTCAATGTTTCTAAAGGTAAAATAAGTTATCATAGTATGTGGTGTGTTACTTTTTAATTTATGCATAGATTGTACCGTTCTTTTTCTTAAGTAATATTTATCATACAATTTTATTATTTTATTTTATAGGATTTAGCTTTCCTGAGTAAAAATCATGTAATATTTAAATTATATTTAGTAAGACATTTCAATTAACTAAAAATTTACTTTTCCAGATGAAACTTTTTAATTAAAATATTATTATTTGATAAAGCATTTAAATGGGTAGTTACAAATGCTTTTAACATTACTATACTAATATTTTTTTTTTCAACTACTTGCCGATGCCAAAAGTGAACATCATTTTTTTACATAATTTTTTAGTAATTTTTTTATCTATTCAATTTCTTAACTTTCTTTTTTTATTTTTTATTCTTGTTACAATGAAAAGAAAGAAAGTATGTTACAAATAATAAAAATAAATAAATATCACAACATTCATTATTTTAGAAAATAATAAATTGTTAATATCGTAAAAAGAATTTAACAAAGTTATTAAATTTTTTATAATAAATGTTTAAAAATAAAATTGAATTTAAAAACATATTATGCTAATTTAAAAATGATAAATGGCTTTAAATAAATCAAAATATAAAAATTATAGTTTTTTAAAACTATAATTATTAAATTATAGTGTATTTAGTTATAATGTACTTATTTGTCATTTCTTATTTATTAGATAGTCTAATAGATGTTTTTATACAATTTCAATTCAACTAGCTAGTTTTTTAAACTTTTTATCTTTCAATTTTTAACTTTTAGTTAGTTTATCCGTAATTTTTTTCTAAAAATACCCTTAGTGCTATAAATTAATTATTAACCTGTATAAAAATCACAAATAAATCAAATAGTTGTATTGTATTTTATACGACAAAGTAAATTATAGTGCGGTTAAATTCGGTATAATAAAATGCATAATTATATATTTACTCTTATAATGTAATAATTGATTTACGACACCGAATATTATAAATTTTACAGTGGAACAGTAAGCTCATTTTTACAAAAATTTATACTAAAAATAAGTGGAGAAAAAGAGAAATATTAAACAAAAGAAGTGATGCATATAATTTTTTTAAAAGTAAATGTGTAGAGATATATTATAGACCTCTTTACTTTTCTATTCTCCAACATCAAATTGAGGTTTAGAACATGTTTGTTTTAAAATCAGATAAAACTAACCCAGAACTATTAAACACAATTAAAATATGTATATAAATTAATTTTAATTATGTACATAATATAAAGAATAATTCTTAGTATAAATAAAGCAGGCCTTAGCCTACGACTACGAGGCACCACACGGAGGAGATCAGAATAAAAGAGCCTACCATTATTAGGTAAAAATTTCAGTAAAATAACAGCCCTGTTTGAAAGATGAAACTAAGGATTGCATAACATGATTCTGCTAAATTAAATCAGGATATAGCTATCGTGTAAATCATTTCAAATTAGGACAACATGGTTGCAAATCTTGTTTCTAGAAGCCAGCTTTTTCCTTTTTAGAATTCAGAATCTTATGGCATAAGCTTTGCTCAAAGAATAATTCTAAATTCTTGTAATTTTTATATTTATAAATATATATTTTTATTTTTAAAATAATAAATGTATATAATTTTATTTGACATTTACGTTACAGAATAATATAAAAATATTAAAAAACATGTAACAAAATATTTGCTTAAAAGAGTCGCTCTCGTGTAAATTAACCTCGTAGCATGTGCGACTGGGAAACATCTCATTGTTATAAAAAGTGCATACATCTATAATTAAGATTTATATTAAAGTTTTGTTAACCTCAATTCTTAAACAAATTTATTAAAAACACTTTTGTACTGCAATGCGCAACTGCAGGTTGAATGGTTGTGGCAATTAGTACCAATATAACCACACAGATCACTTGCAAAAGGAATAAATAAATAAGAAAGAAAGATTAACAATAGTGGTCATAGCGATAGCCATAGGTAATAAAACCTGGAAAATTAATCAAGAATTCGCACTTAATAAATCAAAGCACTACTTCAATATTTCACGTATCTCTACGAAATGCCAGTGATCTCCAATACATTTATAAGAAGACGATATATATATATATATACATACACACAGTTTCAATGGTGAGTGTTTAATTTTGGGTATTATCTTGGAGTTATGATGGTGGATCTAGATTGAAGAAAGAGAGGAATATTGGAAAGATTAATTAGAAGAACTGGACTATGCGGCAAAGACAAGCTTTCCTCCGTTCATCATCATTCTCTTGAACTCGTTAAAATTGACCATACCATCTCCATCCATATCAACCTTCTTAATCATCTCTTTGCACTCTTCAATCCTCTTCCCTTCTCTTAATCCCAATGAAGTAAGCACCAAAGCTAGCTCCTCCACTGATATAAGCCCATCATTGTCTTTATCAAACACATCAAAAGCCTCTTTTAAATTAACCTCATCTTCACCTTCCTTACCAATATCACCCTCTTTCTCCTCACCCATTTGGCCACCCATACACTCACCAATCAACAAGCAAAACTCTTCAAAATCAAGCAACCCATCTCCATTGGAATCAAACTTGATAACAATATCATCAATCTCTTTATCTGTCATCAAGATTCTTATGTTCCTCAGTGATTCCCTCAGCTCTAGCATTGTTACAAATCCATCGCCGTTCTTGTCAAAAGTGGAAAACACCTTTCTCAGCTCATCTTTTCTGTAGGTACCCCTCTCCACCTTGGTCTTTGGTGAAGATGAAGTAGTAGTGATGTTGGGTTTGCAAGCGTTGTTGGGGAAGAAAATTTGAAGCCACGCACGAATCTTGTTGGTGGGTACGTAAAAGAAGACGTTTATAAGGCCCGCGATGAACAACACAGCTACCAACAGTGTAGCTAGAACCATGTTTTGGTCGAACTAGATAGATGTTACAAAACAACCAAAAGGGTAGGGATAAGGAAGAAGAGGACGAGGAAAAGAAGCAAGTAACTGGTTATTAGAACATAGTAGCCAAGATTGTACTACACACTTTGTCTGCTTTTGTATGTTTTTTGTCGTGTAGGAGAAAAAAAAAATGAAGTCTCATGTTACTCCTTAAAATTGTATTTGTGTGTCTTTTATTTTAATCACGATTTTATAAGACTAACGTTTGGCCTTGTTGTTATTCACTTTAATTGTTCTTACAATAAAAGATATGATTAAGAAAGACTCAATTGAACATTTTATAAAATTAATTATGTATGATATTTTAAAATAAAGGAGTAAAGTGAAGGATATATATAATTTCTGCCATGGATTTGCTTTAAAAAAATAAAGTTGCAAGTGTAAAGGAAGTTACGCGGGTTTGGTGGTGGTGCTCTTTTTGATCCCACAAACCGCGTGAAAGGTAATATCCAACATTTGAAGGACACAAATATTTAGCGACGTCATAACATCACAGAAAGAAAGGCAAGTGAATGTGATATTTTTTACAAATGACAAGCTTATGTTATGGCCTTTTTGCTTTTCCATTAAGCTATCCATTCAGTGGTGAGAGTAATAAGATGAGGGAATGGCAGAAACAGTTGCCACAAGTGCTCTCTCGTGTGAGGAATGATGTCTACTTTGGCACATCCAATATCATGTGCTGGAATAATAGAATCGATTTGTTGCTCTTTCTACTTCCCCACATACTCCAATCATGGTTCCACAACACAGACCACTTTGTCCAACATTTACTTTTTGCATTTTAATATTTCTGAATTATGGGTATCCTAATGTCTTTTAGATCAGAGAAAATTAAGCATAAGTCTGAATTTTAATTGATTTGTTCGCATATATTCTAACATGACCGAAACATAATCAATGATTTGAAAATATCTGTATTCTGACGAAACTAGCTAGATATAGAAAAAGTATTTTTGAATTCTTAATATATATATATATATATATATATATATATATATATATTAATTTGTCATAAGATTGAGATTTTAAGATAATCACCTAATTAAGGAATTCGATTCACTACCTTACCCAAAGGTGAAGATATCCTTGTCCCATATGCCATATGATAGGACTGAAGAACTTTAATAATAATGGGTGGTCTTACCATACAAGGGAGCCTAGACGGGTAACAAGAAAACTGAGAGGAAATAAAGGAAGGATATCTTAACTGAAAATATCTTATGGAATTAGTGTGTGCACACACTCACAAAGACACCTACTCTATATATTTTTTGAAAAACAGAGCCCAATCTTAACAAAAATAAAAGCAATATCCACGTCACTCATGGTGAGAGAAAAGACAGTAGAACCACAGAAAACTTGTATTTCCCAACACAGTTTATAATTTATTTAGGAGTTTATAAATTTTTTATTGAAACTAATAAAATTGTTTTATACAAAAACTGTAACTTTCTTAAAAAGTAGTTTTAAATAACAATTAACTTGTTAGAAAAAAATTATTAATATTCTCATCTATTTATTTATTATTTTAAAATAATCTACACAAAATAAATCCAACCCTTGTTTTTTAATTTTTTAACACAATTTAGTTAATTTTATAACTGATTTTACAAAATAGAGCTTTACTTTATATCATAAGTTCTGTTAATGTTATTTTTGAAAGTTAGATGTAAGAGGGGAGGAAATGAAAGAAAAAGGGTCAGAAGAGTTTAATTTTGTTTGAGAGTTGTTTAATTAGAAGGAAAAAATTTTGAGAGTTTTTCTAAATCTTCTAAAAACTTATTTTTTGAATTCTTCTATTTTAGGAATTTTTTTCTCTTCCATTCTTTTATGCTAGTTTACAAATAAAATTTTAATTTTTTTAAAAATAATTTGAAAAATAAAAATATTAATTTTAAATTTATTTATATAATTAAACTTCCTCTTATCCTCCTTCTAATATTAAACATTGAAATAAGAGTGATGTTTAACCTTCTCTTTTCTTCCCCTTTTTCATCTTTCTTTTTTCAAATCTTTGTCTTTTTTTCACTTCCAAACTCTTAAATAAAATCTAAAAAAGATCATTATGCTAGATATATTCGCAATATAATAAAACTAAAATTTTTAATATTTTTTTTCATCCACAAAATTCGAACCCCAAACCTGAAAAATCAAACTTGTAAAGATAATAAATATAATTTTTATTTTTTTATTAATTTTAATCTTAATTATTTTTAAATCATAAAATAGTTTTATTATTAGTGTATATATATATATATATATATATATATATATATATATATATATCACATCAATTTTTACGTGAAGACGATATTGAACGTAACATGACTTGGATATACATCATGTCTTCTTCAAAATGATAATCGGACTATTTGTAAAAAATTTATAAATATCAAAATTAGTAAAAACAACTAAATGGAAAATTATTTATACTTATAAAATTATTAAACTCTACATTTTAAATTAATATTCCAAAAAAAATGATAACTTTACTCAATTAATTCTCTTTCATTTTTCAACATTTTGTCTTCAATTTATTATTATTATTATTATATCTGTCTGCACGTAGACACACTGGGTCAAAAGCATCTTCCTTCTCTCCCAGTGAAAAATACGCAAGGTGTAAAGTAACCCACTCTCAGAGGATTCTTGAAGGGTGATGATAGAAATGAGAAGAGAGAAAAGGATTAAAGAGTAAATAAAAAACATGATACCGGATTTTATATAAAGATAAATTAATAAAAATAAGATGTAAGAAAAAAAATGATTATAAATATTTAAAGTTTTTATGTTCTTAAAATGAAAATAATTCTCATCATCACATGTCACATGCACAAGGATTTGAATCCAAGCATCTCTATTTTTCTTCAGCAAATATGTTGCCAATACGATTGAAGATATTTATAGAGAGAAAATAGAGTCCACTCTCAATTATTATATATATAAACGTACCAATAAATTTTAAATTCATTATACAAAAAATATAGTTATTTTCTCAATCATGCAAAATAAAATAATGTTGTTTTCTATACTTTTGTCATTATTCTCTTTTTTTATTTTATTTTTTTGCATGACCAGAACTTTTTTGGAAGGTTCCATCCAGAACTTAACTTTGGGCCGTTTTTACATTGAACTCGTCCTTTTGTTAGACCCAAATAGCTGCTCCTACTTCGAATATTTACGCCTTGATTTGTGTTGCAATTTTGTGTGCAATCGCACGTAATATATATTGGTACATAATAGCACATAATATTTGTACATTTTTTATGCTGTTTTATTAGTAATTTTAATTTATTCTATTTACAATTTATTAAATATAAAAATAAAATTGTAATAAAAATATAAAAATAGTTACGAGTGTCAAGAATTATAAATTTTAAGCTTGATAAAAATCTTATAAAATTTATGATTCAGTATAGACATGGATTAGATTTTTCTAAAATGAATCTATCTAGCATCTAACCGGGCCAGGAATTAAGGAGTCCTGAAAATATAGACATGGATCACTAACTATTTTTCTTATCACTTATTGGTTTGAAGTGTGATATTTGAAATTAAGCTTTTACAAAGCCCAATACACCCTAATTCTACTCGGCCCATTTAATTGCACTTTGCAGGAGACAACGAGCGATCACCCCGTGGACCAGAAAAAATAAAAACAAAAGGAGTGATCACAGATCACCCATCTCTGGTGTTTAATATCTTTAGAGTGGAATTGAACCAAAAATAATTAACATTCAGAGTAGAGAGAAATCTTCAGTCTTCAGTTATCAATCATCATTTTCAATTATAGTTAGCTTATGCTCTTCTTTGTTTCTCTCTTGGTGCCTAAGACCTGACACCTATGCTCACTAAATTTAATCCATATGATTGGCACGAAAATAACTTGGATGAGAGGTTTTAGTTTATGCCTAATAATCTTTATTCTTTGTTTGGTTTATGTGTAATTTTAATTGTCATAGATTTTTAATTATTTAAATTAAGTTTATCACTCTAAAATTTTATTTAATACTTAATAAAAATGTAGAAGAAATATAATATAAATTAAATAAAAATATTTTAGTTACGTGTTATACATATTTTAATTTAAGTTGTGCATATAATTTATTTATTAATTTATATAAATTAATGATATATTATACTTGTATTATATCTTTGTTAATTAGTAAAGTAGAATTTGTTTTAGACCACAAGTTCTCCCATTGAAAGCAGTATTGTTCGACCGAGTTTAATAGAATGTTGATATAAAAGTCTTAATGTAAACAATTAATAAATTAAAAATAAATAAATGTGAGTAATTAGAATTAAAAGGAAAAAAGTGATACATATATTGGGATAAAAAAAGTGTTTAGTTATTAGTGTCACTATCCACTTTTTTGGACGTACGGAATTATTAAAACCAAAAGAAAATGAAGGGAAGTAGATATAAAGTTATATATTTATAATATGAGAGAAAGCAAAAGTGTTGAAAGTTTTTAGCAGGGAATTTCATTTTTGGAAAGACTAGTGATTGGAGCCAGAAAGAAGTGAAAATGAAAGAAGAAAGAAAGGTTGGTCCACCATTCCTATATATTCGTTCAGTATCACAGAAAAGTATGGGAGGAAGTCCCTGCAGGGGTTGAAGTAGGAGCCCAATAACACATGTTTTCGTGGCTATATTACTACTGTTCTCCTTATGCTCCATTTCTGTAGGACTTGTGTCCTCAATCTAACCTTTCAAGTGGTGCCCACAACTGTGATTACACCAATGCAATCACCCTATAATAGTTTTTGTTTAATCAAATTTTATTAAATAAAAAGAATAGATAATTTTATATTTTTAAAAAGAGGGAAAGAAAGAGAGTTACGTTGATGCATGTGGAGAGGAAGTAGAACAGGCTGTTAAGGTGAGGCAGTGAGTGACCCCATGAGGGCGACTTGATACGGAAACAGACAATCCCACCTCTTCATCTCTCTCTATCACCCCCGTCCCGTTCTAACGTACACCTTTATTCCTCTTTCCCTTTGGGAAATGATCACATGCTCCTGCTTGCACGCTCCTTAGCATGGTCCCACTCCCATCACCATTCACCACGCGCTCCCTCAGCCCCACTGTTTTTGCTCTACTCACTTCTAGATTAGCTCTCCCACGTCACCAACCTGTTCCACCCCAC